TGTTTTGGAAGTAGCAGCGGCTGTAAGCCCGAAACCCCAAACCCTGGCCCTAAACCCAAAACCTAAACCCAAAGCCCGAAGCTTAAACCCAAAACCCTGAACCCTAATTGTCGCCATTCTTCGGTAAGCCCCACCACAGGTGCGACAGCCCAGGGTTTAGCATTTCGGATAGCTTAAGGACCCGCATCCCGACCACACAAGGCCTCGTGGCTTCAGGTTTCGGGGTTAGGGTTGAGGGCTTTGGGCTTCGGGGTTTAGGCTTTGGGGTTTAGGGCAAGAAGGCAGGACTGCCACAAGATTAATTTAACTAGACCTGCACATGAGTCAATGAGTTACCGGTTAGGGTTCATGGCTTCGGGTTCAGGGGTTTGGGAAACCTATACTGAACTTAGAACCCTAGCAAAAGTTTTAGTTTTAGCTGTTTCTTAGGAATTATAATGACCAAAAATTAAACATAATTCTAAGTACCCCTAAGAAACCCAAAACTTCACCGTCTGAGAGTTCCCGCCACTCCGGCCGGGTATAACGATCAGCAGCGGACCCGTGGGATCTGACGCGTTGGGGTAATTTTGGTGGGTTTCGGGTTAGGGTTTAGGGTTTAGGGTTTAGGGTTTAATTTTGGTGGATGGTATAGTCTTCTTAGGAATTATTGTCTTGTTATTGGTCACATACAACCAGTGTTTCTTTATGGTTCTAAGGGGGTTTCGGGTTAGGGTTTCGAGAAGGATTAGGTTTCAGGGTTGAGGGTCTAGGGTTGCGACATGTTGCGACTGCAATACGTACCAAAAGGAGTCGAAGTCTGGGGCGGGGGCTGTGCTTAGGGGGGGGTTAGGCTGGGGGGAGGCCGTTGTAAGGGTTGTATACGACCTTGGATCCGGTTTAGGGTTTAGGATTTAGGGGTTGCAAGGGTTCGTATACAAAACACGTCGAACCAAGCTGTGAGCAGGAAAGTACAAAGACATCCTGCCTATGGGTAATTATCAAAATCATGGTCCGTTTTCGGGTGCCCTCAATATTAGGTGCCGTATAACATGAAGGACCCAAAAAGGGACCAAAACTTTGACAACCTCATGTTGAATTTAAGGTACATTGCTGAATGAAGGGGTGTTGGCAGAGGGCTCTCTGGGATCTTGTTCTGAAACAAAGCTTCGCAGGTTGCCGGGTGGTTTGGAAAAGTTAAGCTTCCTTTTCTAGGCACCCAAACAGAAGGCATCTTTTAGTTTAGGCTTAAGGGCCTTTTGTGCAGGGTTTGGTCCAGGTTTGTAGTTGTTCAGTTTAGAGAACTGCAGGGTTTGGGGATCGTGGTTTGAGCCTAGGTCTGGTCTCCCACTCTCCGTCATCCTTTCCCCCTTTCTCTCCAAGCCCACCGTTCCTGGCAGGATGTCTTTCTCCGACTACCCTTCAGTACGATGGTACTGCACAGATATTGGCAGCGTTTGCCAGCAGTCAACACATGTGATGAACGCAACAACAGGAAGGCGGCAAGCAACATGGGCACAGCCTAACGATCGAAATCTGTCGCAATCAGACCACCGACCATAGGGTCATATTGTGTATGACGGATCCCACTACTACAACTACTTCTACTGCTGCTGCTGCTGCCACATCCACCACCACCGCTCCCTGAACCCTAAACCTGCCTTTCGCCGAAATCCGGGCGCCGGTGTGGCCCTATTGTAGGACCCCACAAGACCCTCGAAGGGAGCCCTGCTATAGAACCGCGGAGTACCCTTCAAGGGAGCCCCTGGGCTTCGCATACCGAGTGAAGGACGTAGCCCCATTTCGGTTTAGGGTTTAGGGTTTAGGGTTTAGGGTTTAGGGTTTAGGGTTTAGGGGCCCCATTTCGGCTACAAAGCAACTAGAACCCCACTGCGCATCATGTGCATCAATCCGAAGGCTGAGTAGAGGAGCCTTAATCATGTAGGAACCTGATTAAGAAACTAGAACCTATATATAATGTTCCTTTTAAAGGATTTCTATAAGAATTGCTATAAGGGATCTATAAGGGGTTCTATAGCGTAGGAAGCTGATTAAGAAACCCTGGGCCTTGATGAGGGTTCCGAATGGTTCCTTATATCAATCCTACCATGTTGGGGTTCTAGGCCCAGGGTTGCTTAATCAGGTTCCTACATTAGCTCGAATAGGGTTTGGGGGTATGTTATAATTATAATGTAAGTTTAATATGGAGCTGAGGACTCATATGGACAGTTTATTCAGGCTTCTACATAATGGAGGGCTGTAGCCTTCCATTGCACCGGGGCCAGCAAGGGTTTACGGCTTCCCGACTAGACCTGTGCGATGTGGAGAATAGAGGGGCCCTCACAATTGGAATGTGGATCTGATGAATATTAAACTATCAGTGTATCGGGACGGAACTTAGCTAACCAGTGGTTTTGGGGTTCCCTGGGCTCTGTAGCTCCTTATTCAATAGGGATTATCATCATCCCTGGCTCCTTAGCTCCTCCAATATCAAAGGTTAGTTAGTTATCATGCTCCAGTCTGGAACCACACGAGCCCGAAACCGCAGATGATGCTGGGGAAGCCTTCTTAAAAGAGCACGGGTTTCAAGAGCCCGGCCCCGCAGCAGGGACCCTTACGGGGGGTAAGCGGGAGGGGGGGTAGGGGACTCTTCTTCCTTGATTAGGCTTCAAAAAGGTCCTTATTCTGGGCATTAAGGCCCCCTAACCTAATTATGATTTCCTGGCATGGGTCGGCAGTGGTGGCGCCAGTGTTGCGGTCCCGGGAGCACTTGAAACGGTATTTTGGGAAGACATGGGCCAGTATCATGAGAATCAGCTCGGCCGCTGTCTGGCAGAATGCCGGGCAATACGAATCTAAGGTTACTGAGGTTCTGGAACCCTCAACCCCAAGCCCTTCCAGCAACCGTTGACGAAACCCTTCCACCGGGCCTCCAGCGTCCGCACTGCTCATCCGCCGCTGGGGCGCCAGACGCCCATCGGAGTCAGAGCACTTGGGGCTGTAATGTTTAGGGTTTAGGGTTTGGGTTTTGGATTCAGGGTTGTTTCTGGACATCAGAAACGTTTTATGAGTGGTTTATAAGGATTCCACGTGAGTTTTTGTTGGTGCTTCTCATGGGTTGAATTTACTTGAAACACGATTGCAGCAGAGCTTGTGATTCTAGGCTTCGGGTTTGAAGTTTGGGGCTTGGTGTTTGGCACATCTCCGGGCGTGGGATTGGGGCCTCCGGGTTAGTAGCGATTCGAGCTTGGGGAATTGGGTTTATCTGAGAAGTCGTTGCCGTGGTGGTAGGAGTAGTAGTAGCAGTAGTAGTAGTCGTCGTCGTCGTAGTCGTCGTCACACTAGTAGTAGTAGTAGTAGTAGTAGTAGTAGTAGTAGTAGTAGCAGCAGCAGCAGGAGTAGTAGTAGTAGTAGTAGTAGTAGTAGCAGTAGCAGTAGTAGCAGTAGTAGCAGTAGCAGTAGCAGTAGCAGTAGCAGTAGCAGTAGCAGTAGCAGTAGCAGCAGCAGTAGCAGTAGCAGTAGCAGTAGCAGTAGCAGTAGCAGTAGCAGTAGCAGTAGCAGTAGCAGTAGTAGTAGTAGTAGTTGTTGTTGTAGTAGTAGCAGTAGCAGGAGTAGTTGCAGCAACAGCAGCACAAGTAGCACAACAAGAAGTAGCGGTGGCAGTGGGAGCGGCAGGAGCAGGAGCCGTAACAATAGTCATACCAGTTTCTGTTGAAATTTTGGTGGTGGTGGTGGTGGTGGTGGTGGTGGTGGTGGTGGTGGTGGTGGTGGTGGTGGTGGTGGTGGTGGTGGTGGTGGTGGTGGTGGTGGTGGTTCCAGTGGTGCCAGTGGTGCTAGTGGTGCCAGTGGTGCCAGTGGTGCTAGTGGTGCTAGTGGTGCCAGTGGTGCTAGTGGTGCTAGTGGTGCTAGTGGTGCCAGTGGTGCCAGTGGCACTAGTGGTGATCGTGGTGCTAGTGGTGCCAGTGGTGCTAGTGGTGGTAGAGATGGTAGTGGTGGCAGCGGTCGTATATAGTGCTGGTAGTGCTGGTAGTGTTAGTAGTGCTGGTAGTGTTGGTAGTTGTACCAGTTTTGTTAGTGGTCGTACTGGCAGAGCCGCGACGCGAGTTTAGTGGTTTATAGCCTGACTTGGCGTCAAATCCTATATAAACCTTAAACCTTAAACCCTAAACCCCGAACCTTCAACGCTTTCGGGGACATTTGTAACACACAACTCGGCCCCAAAAACAATAAAGATGCTGGATGTGTCCTTGAGCCGAGAGGCCAGTAAAAGGGTCTGGAGTTTAGGGTTTTAGAGAATACGAGTTTTGGGGTTAGGGTTTGCGGTTTAGAGCTTAAGGGCCTAGGGGTTTAAGGATTTAGGGCATTAAAAGTCATTATCATGATTCTTGGCACTATTGAGTATTACCAATATCATATTACATCGGCATCATGACCATTTTCAACATCGTTGGCTATCATTGCTACGAATATCATGCAAATGTATCATCACCGCCGTTCTCACACTTAACATGGACAGTCTATACACACAGACTCACTCTCACACACACACACACACATGCGCGCACACACACATGCATGCATACCTATGTATGTATGTATATATATATATATATATATATATGTGAACCTTGCTATTACTACTATTACCATTATCATCGTGACGATGCTGCCGAAGCTTCCTACGGACTGAAGCATCCTGCGTGAAACATCTTTTACACACTGCACTTTGCGGGGCTTCTAATGTCAATGGAATCATGTGGAAAGGCTCGCCAGGATCACCTGCCTTTCTCTTGGAGAAAGCCAGGAGTAGTTAGTACTAGTAATCAGTAGTAGTAGTAGTAGTAGTAGTAGTAGTAGTAGTAGTAGTAGTAGTAGTAGTAGTAGTAGTAGTAGTAGTAGTACTTGTCATAGTCGTCGTAGTAGTCGTAGAAAAAGAAGTAGAAGAAGAAGTGGATTTAGAAGTATTAGTGGTAGTAGTTGTCGACGTCGTCGTCAGGAGTCTCACTTGGGCGTGAAGACGGTCAGAAAGGAATCTCGACATAGCCGTCCGCAAGAGCGAGCGAGGAGACCCGCCGGCACTCTGACGGGTCCCCCTCCAGGCCAAGCTGCAGAAAGTGTGGGATCGACTGGCCACGGGCAAAATCTGCGGCGGTCCAGCGCCGGCAGTTGCGGAGGTCCAGTCTCGCGCCGGCCGCGATCAAAGCGGCGGCGGCCTCGAATTGAGCCGACCTTACAGCCTGCATCAGCGGCGTGCTGCCATGCAGATGATAGGCCAGACCGGACAAGATTGTTTCCCGGCCAATCCGATACTGCAAGGACTTCCCTGCAAAGAGAAGCCGGCCCAGTGTGCTGAAGTCGCGTGGGAGGTTCAGTTGAAAGTCGATGTCGGCGCGGAGGGCGATCAACCGGTTCACCAGCTCTGCCGAGCCGCCCCGAACTGTTGCAGCACCGAAGAGCGCACGCGAAAGATCCAGAGAACCTGGGCGACCCTGCATCACCAGCTCCTCCAGCGCTGCAGTCGCAGCATATCCAGCTGCATTTTGCAAGGCATTGAAAGAGAAAATGTTGAGGGAAAGTGGCGCGGCACCCTCTGCGCACAAGAGCCGGATTCCTTCTGCATTGTCAACAACGGCCGCATGCATGGCAGCTGGTGAAACTCCACCCTCCGGGTGGGCTCTCGCCGCGAGAACAAGCCGGGTAGCCTCCTCGTGCTGGTAAAATACCGCCAAATCCAAAGCCGACATCCATGGCGGAAAGCCCAACATCGGCTCATCCTTCGACGTGCGCCGGTTTATGTCGGCACGCTTCTCCAGAAGGCCCCTCAGCACCTTGGCATTGCCTGCAAGTGCCGCATAGTGCAGAGGCCACCACCCCGCGCTGTCGGCCTCACTGACCCTCCTCAAGCCGTTCTGGTGTAGGAACTCCGCCACTGCATCGTTACCACCGTGGGCCTGGCAGCTGGGAAGCAGGCCGGTCGCCTGCTCGATCTCCAGCCCCCGCAGGTAAACGTTCTGCAGGTTGAAGTGGCGTCGGAATCCAGGCAAGTCACCCAAACGCAGGCAGTGCTTCAGCTTTCGCATCAAGATTCTGTGCATCACCAGGGACAGCTTCTGCCGATCCTCCGCGATCTCGAAGTAGCCTTCCCCGACGGGGCCACTCGGAAAGGATAGCACTGTGCCAACAACTTCAATGGAGGTGTCGCTTTGAATCAGAATCCAAGTACTGTTTGGAGACAGCTCACGTGCGGCTCTTTCCAAGCGGCACCACCCCCTGCTTCGCCAACTCGCTGCTGTTAGGACCTTTCCCTGCAAGGGGCAGTCGAGGACGGGACAAAGTGCGAAAAAGAAGTGGCACTCACTTATGTAGGCCGGTATGCTGTTGATGGCGTTGGCTTGCTGGCGGTAATCCGTCTCTTCGGATGCACGGGCTTGATACTCCAGCTGTGGGCATGAGAAATAGTCGTACCAGAGGTACAACTTCTGTACCTGGAACTCCTGCATGGGAAGAGGCCTGGCCGTTCGCACCACGCCTTCGGTAATGCAATCCAGCGAAAGAGATCCAGAGCTACTTAGGATGCGCTTCAAGGCATTCTGCAGAATGCTCATCTGCCTGAACTCCGGATCTGGGTGGTTCGTGGCAAGCCACTGGTGCGAAACGAAGGCTGCCTTGCCCAAGTCGTCGCTGAAGGCAACAAGCTCACCTCCGGCCTCCGAAGCGGGGTTACTTAAAGGTTCATGGGACTTAGTAGATAGGGTTATACGTACAATGGCTATATTTATAATCAAGCATAATTAAGTATAACCCCACTTAAGGTAGGTACTTACTAAGTTCCATGAACCTCCAAGCAGAGTTTACGGCTTCGGGTTTAGAGCACGAACCCAAGATCCTCAAGCCGGGAGCCTTAAAAGCCTCCGAGTACTATACCCTAGACCCCAAAGGCTAAAGTAATATAGGGGCCTAAATAATTACCAATACTATTTTGGAGGGCTCCTTGCTATAATTATAGTATAATGGGCCCCGGGCCCCCAAAACCCTATTCTAACTATTAAGGCCCCTATATTAACACCAAAAACTTAAACCCGATCCAGCGTACAGTCTTAGAGGTTTTATGGGAGTGTCAAGTTTGGAGAAAAACCATGGACGATCGACCGTGAAGAACAAGTACTACAGTGCGCAGTCGGGCTTTTTCAGGGAGAGCCCAGCTTAGCGTCACGGTGAATGTCCAGTAACAGCGCTCCAGACGTGGAAGCATTAAACAGACATGGCGCACCAGTGCGCGCTCCACCCCCTCTTTTGCATGCACAGGGGCTGAGGATTTAAGGTCGAGTCTAGGGTGGGTCGCGAGAAAGCGCAGAGAGCGCAGGTGCACGGAATTCTAAACTCGGCCCATCTCAGCCCGCTTACAAGCTTCAAGCCGGGACCCTCAATCGCAAATTGTAGCTCTGCCACGTGGCTGCCGGCCTTCAACTTTTCGTGGGGCTCGACCTTCGTCATCTTCAGCAGCACATCCGCAGCTACGGTGTACATGGGGAAGAGCATGGGAGCTGCCTGAGAGCAGGCGAAAGACCCACTGACGGCTTCGGCTCGACAAGCCCACACGAATCTCATGCTTTCAGAACTACATTCCAAATTCTGCATGCGCTTCAGAGCCCAGCGGCGTCTGCATCATCGGGCAAGGATCGGCCATAGATTTCGAGCGGCGTCCGAGGCTTGTCGAAGAGGCAAGAGGGCATGAGCTCAAGTCGCGAAGGACGCCGCAGTGAAACGGAAAATCGGGCGGAGCTAAAGCCCCTGTCCCGGAAAAGCAACGAGGTGTGGGGTGTAGGGATTATGGGGCTGCTTGGGAACTGAATGCCTGGCATTCCTTTATGCTGACTGCTTCTGCTTCTGAGGAGATCTGTGCACTCCACAGAAGCTCTGGATCCAAAGCTGCCAATGCTTTCTAGACATGCTGCACCTGCAGTGCAGGCAGTGCTAATGCGAATAAACTTGTGGTACGACTGGCGCGACTAGCATCACAACCGCTGGCACAAACTATACCACGATGTAGTACAAGTACGATTAGGTACTGCATCAAAAGCCTGCCCGCCATCATCGCCATCATCATGAGCATCATAACCGTTGTCATCATCATGATCATCATCACCACCACCACCATCACCATCATCATCATCGTCATCATCCTCAGCGACTGAATCATCTATCATCTATCATTTATCGTCATCATCAACATCAGCAGCATCAGTATCATCACCACCGGCAGTAGCAGCATCGATCATCATCACCACCACCACCACCACCACCACCACCACCACCACCACCAGCATCAATCGTCGCCGTAATGGTCAGCAGCGAAGCTTCCTAGTGACTCAGTGCAGATGTTTTAGGCACAGTGTGAATCCCACAAGCGCACCAAAAGCATTCGATGTGCCCAGAAGGGTACACCAAGGTCATCTGATTTACTCTTCGAGGAAGTCAGAGGACTTACGGAGGGCATCTTCGCCCGCCCGTTTCATAATTCACATCTTGGGCCCCAAGACTGTTAAAAAGGAACCTCGACATAGCCGTCAGCAAGAGCGAGCGAGGAGACCCGCCGGCACTCTGACGGGTCCCCCTCCAGGCCAAGCTGCAGAAAGCGTGGGATCGACTGGCTACAGGCAAAATCTGCAGCAGTCCAGTGCCGGCAGTTGCAGAGGTCCAGTCTCGCGCCGGCCGCGATCAGAGCTGCGGCGGCCTCGAATTGAGCCGACCTTATGGCCTGCATCAGCGGCGTGCTGCCATGCAAATGATAAGCCAGACCGGACAAGATTGTTTTCCGACCAAACTTGTACTGCAAGGACTTGCCCGCAAGGAGCAGCCGGCCCACTGTGCTGATGTCACGTGGGATGATCAGTTGAAAGTCGATGTCGGCGCGGAGGGCGATCAGCCGGCTTACCATCCCTGCCGAGCCACCGTGAACTGCTGCAGCATCGAAGAGTGCGCGCGAAAGCTCCAGGGAATCAGGGCAACCCTGCCTAACCAGCTCCTCCAGCACTGCAGACGCCGCGAACCCTGCTGCATTTTGCAAGCAACTGACGCCGAACACGTTGCGTGCCAGCGGTCTGGCACCCGCTGCACACAGGAGCCGGACTCCCTCTACATTTTCCGAGAAGCCAGGATAAAAGATAGCCGGCGCTAGCCCACCCTCAAGTTGGGCTCTTGCGGCGAGAAGCAGCCGCGTGGCCTCTTGGTGCTTGTAGAACACCGCCAGATCCAAAGCCGACACCCAAGGCGGGAAGCCCAACATCGGCTCATCCTTCGACGTGCGCCGGTTCACGTCGGCGCGCTTCTCCAGCAGGCCCCGCAGCACTTCTGCATTGCCGGCCAGAGCAGCGTAGTGCAGTGGCCACCACCCCGTGCTGTCGGCCTCAGCGACCCTCCTCAAGCCGTTCTGGTGCAGGAACTCCGCCACTGAATCATCACCACCCTCAGAGCTGGGAAGCAAGCCGCCAATCGGCTCGATCTCCAGCCCCCGCAGGTGAACCGTCTGGAGGTTGAAGTGGCGTCGGAATCCAGGCAGGTCGCCCACTCGCAGGCAATGAAGCAGTTTCTGAACCAAGATCTGCCGCATCACGGGGGCCAGCTTGTGTCGATCCTCCTCGATCTCGAAATGGCCTTCCCCGACGGGGCCACTCGGAAAGGACAGCACCGTGCCAACAACTTCAATGGAGCTTTCGCTTTGAATCAGAATCCAAGTGCTGTTTGGCGACAGCTCGCGTGCGGCTCGTTCTAGGCGGCACCACCCCCTCCTGCTCCAGGTCGCCGCCGTAAGCACTGTGCTTTTCAAGGGGCAGTCGAGAACAGGGCATAGCGCAAAGAAAAAATCGCACCTGCCTATATATGCCGGGATGCTTGTTATGGCGCGGGCCAGGCGCATGTTAGGCGTCTTGTCGATCTGGTGCTCCCCCAGCTGTGGGCATGAGAAATAGTCGTACCAGAAGTACAATCTCTGCGCCTGGAATTCCTTCATGGGGAGCGGCTTAGCCGTTCGCACCGCGGCTTCTGTGGAGGGGTCCAAGGAAAGAGACTCAGAGCTATTCAGAATCCGCTTTACGACATCCTGCAGAATGCGTATCTGCCTGAACTCCGGATCTGGGTGGTTCGTCTCAAGCCACTGGTGCGAAACGAAGGCTGCCTTGCCCAAGTCGTCGCTGAAGGCAACAAGCTCACCTCTGGCCTCCCGAGCATCGGAACTAAGGTTTTGAATGCTTGGGGTCAAGGATTTACCCTAAGGCTCAAAATGGCCCAAAAACCTTACATAGTTTGGTCTTCAAGCCGAAAAGCCTTAAAATATGAGTCCTTAGAGCCTTAAGATGGATAATATGGAATTTAGAATTTATCCCAAAGAGGCGGCCACGGGCATCCAGCATAGAGATTGAGGGGTTTTCACATCCCTACCCAAACCCTAAACCCTAAACTCACTCTCACTCACGCACGTAAACGGGTCCACTGTCCAGAACGTAGGCATGCAACTCCCCAAAAATGCAGCTGCTGTAGCTACATAGGGACAAGAAAACAAAACGAAGGAGAAAAACGAGGGAGCGAGACGGACAAGCTGCGACCTCAAGACGAAGCGGAGGGCGATCTGTAGATCGCCGACGGCCTGAACGTGAGCTCAACAGCTGGATGGAGAATATCCAAGCCGGCGCTCAAACTGTGCAGAGCCTTGCTATACAAGGATTCGTGGATGGCACAGAATAGACTACCCTTGCAAGTGTTCACTTGGTGAAACTTGGCAGCAGGCATCAATTCCCTCCACAGACGAATCCCTTGCGACGTGAGAGCTTGGGGAAAGACGATTCCCGCTCCTCTGTTAACATGCTGGCATAACATTCGAAAGGTCACTGTAGCTTCAAGCAACCGCCATAGGCTTCGCGGAGGCTCGCGACTGGTGGAATCCTCCTGGGCATCAAGGCATTGGCGAAGTGATGAAAAACCTCGCCTAGCTTCCCAGCACCAGGGATCCTTCAGTTGTAGCGTAGCCCAAAGGCTCCAGAAGCAGTCCCACGCTGCTGGGAGTCTCCAGACAACCTTCCGATGAAGCAGGCCACGCCAAAGCGGAGAGGGAACAGCCCAATTTGGACTGCCTTCAAATCCCTGAGATTCTCCTGAAAGAGAGGCAGATGGTACGCCGCTCTCCAGCACACTGTCCGCAATGGCAAACCAATGTAGAGTCTCTTCCGGCTGACTGTCAGCCTGCGATGGTGGCGCCGACGGGGCGCCCGCCTCGCTGGCAGATACCCCAGAAGCCTCCTCTGGCACAGCAGCCGCGAACAGGGCCGGGTCATCCGGCCACTCATAAAGCTCCTGCGTCCCCACCACCATGTGACGCTCCTGACGCAGGTCGTCCTCCGTGCAAGGGACTTCAGCTAGGGAAGCCGCTCGCTGTGCCGGCGTGGCATTGATGGGTCCTGGGAGGCGGGTAGCAGGCAAGCCCCTATGGCCTCGGGCACCAGAACGCTTTGTCCCCGTACCATAAACGTAGGCTTGGCTTACAGTGACACGCAGCCCGTGCATGCACGCCGGGGTCACCTTCAAATGGTATTTCAAACGGTCCGTTGAGTGATGGTCACAATGGCACCATAAACAGACAGTGCCATTCGTATATCGAGTCAAACTATTGACTACTGAATGCTTGCGATGAACGTGTGCCGCCAGGGCATGCAGGCTGGGAAAGCTGAGGCCGCAAAGTCCACAAACTCGGGGCAACGGAACACCAAGAACCTGGGCTACCCTTGGGACAACGACATCCCGCCATAATGCATGAAGAGCCCGATAAGCCGAGCCATACCGGCTGAGGTGCCGGCATACACTTTGGAGCTTGTCGCCATGTCGGGCTAGGTACTGGCGAGTGACATGCGTCGGGGAGATGTGGCCCGCCAGCCCAGATGCAACTTGTTGACACGCATCGACAAGAAGAGCACACCATGGCGTGGCCCGACCCCATGCTGCCGCAAAGAGCTCACCTACTCGCTGCGGCGCGCGTGTAACCAGCTGGATCACCAGCCTAGTTCTGGCAATAGCGCATGCATCCAACGGGGACGAAAGCCCCATCAGCAGCACCAACAGTGGGTTCGTCAGAACATGGCCAAATTTCCATGAGCCAACCAATTGTCTCGCTGCCCTTTCGAAGAAGCCCGTAAGTGGGCTAACCGCTCGTTCAGAGACAGCAAGCGACGTGCAAAGGGTAGCGTAGGCCGCTGGGAGTACCCGTCCGGCGAGCCACGCTTGCTTAAGTCGCCACGGCAGTGACGGGCATGCTAGAAGACTCTTGGCATGTGACCAAGCGGAATGGCCACGTTGTGCCGCCAGTTCCATGTCCCGCCGGCCATTATCCCTGGGGGTTTGAACCACTCCGAGGTAGCGGTATTCCGGGGCCAACCTGACAGCGTGACCGCCGGGCAACCTCAGAAGGGAAGGCGGAGCCAGTAGCTCGCCACGGACCAGCTTTGCTTCAGGGCCGCGTATGTCGACCAGGATCTCAGTCTTTCCTGCTGCCAAATTGACACGGAAGCGTAGAACTTCAAGGGTCGTAAGGACGATTGTCGCGAGCCGAGGGAGTTGGCAGAGGAGCTGGCGGGGCGATTCGAAATCCGCCAAGATGGCGAGGTCATCTGCCCACCCCAACGGAAGCACCTCGTCGGAGGCACCGACGAAGCTGCCTGCTGCCTGCAGAGAGATGCCCTCATGAAGGCAAGTGGCTTGAATGTGCCGGAGTGCGACAGAGAACAACGCTCCGAAAAGAATGTCTGCTAGACCATCCCCTGGGCGTGAGCCCCTGGTTGCAACGAAGGAAGAGGCAGAACCTGCAAGGCTCCATCGGGAGAAGGCCACACAGTCTTGTAGCAGCTCACGCTCCTCCTTAACCATCCCTATCTGCTCTAACGCCCCTTTAGAAAGAAGGCTGTCCGCAAGTTGGGTAAGGTGTCTGAGATCCGGTCGGCCCGTTTCCTCAGCAGGTGTGAGGTCAACATCACCACAGAAAATCAGCTGGCGGCTTACTTCATAATACGCAGCTTGAATGTCCACAAACAGCACTGCGGTGCTGCGCTGCAGTTGTGCGCTGAGGTCCATGGCCGCCCGGTAGGCCGCGACCGCAAAGCTCACTGGCACGCCTGGCTTCCCTCCAAGCTGGGTGTCAGCGTAGCCCCGCAGCACGTTTTTGCCAATTGTCCTCCGTAGGTGGCTGTGCCAAATTTTTGCCACCCCGTTGAGAAGGGCAATAGCACGGTAGTTAGCCGGAATGGCCGCTGGGCCTTTTTTGTAAAGTGCGAAATATAGTGCCTCTTTGAACCCAAACGGTTCGTGGCCACTCAGCGCAATCTTGGTGTTGAGCGCCCAGACCCAACGTCCCGCCTGGGCCGGGAAGTGGTGCCATATGGCGTTAGGCACTCCGTCCGGACCTGGTGCTTTATTGGGCACTTGGCGACGGCAGCTATCCTCCGCCTGGAGGAGTGAGGGGACCGCCTGTGTGCAGGGAAGGGCATCTCGACGCAGCCAGGACCTACCTGGGAAGCATCTGTTCGGATTCCTGCCTCTTGCAGTCTAAATTGTTCCTCTAGAGCCCCTTCTATGTCGTACCCTCCAGCAGCATAGACCTGCCTTCGTTCAGCGGCCCTTCTAGACGCCCATTTGAGGTGGTTGATGGACTCCAAGGGACGACCGTTGGCATGCCAATGCTTGAGGGCTGCAGTGGTCAGTGCCAGGAAATGCGCCTGCTTATCCTTCTTGGCAAGCCCATGAACATAATCCTGGACCTTCGCCTCCTGAAGAGCAAGGGCCGCTGTGTAGTGCCGAGCCATCCGTTAGTCAGCCAAGTGCTGCAGTCGTATCGAACGGGGGCGTCGGCGCCAGCGAGCGAGGGCCCATCGACACGTATGCTGCTTTTGCAACTTCCGGGAATGCCGCAGCTGGCACCGCCAATCCCGAAGCTGATATAACCAATTCACGGTTCCAGGGGCCAGATACGGCTGACGGACCTTAAGGACCCGGGGACTGGCATGTTGCTGTGCGAACTTCCGATAGGCATCTTGCAAGGTGAACACAGCTTCACCGCTGCTTGTAGCAGTCGCGCATGGGGTGTCGGGAGTTGCTCCCAGAAGTGTCGCCCTAGCTCCTCAACAAACGGTCCAGCCAGTATCGCTCGTTGACGAGCAACTCGCCCAACGGGCTGTGGCCGAAAAAGAGTAGAGCGAGCTCTCAAAGCGACATGGTCCCTGCAGGAATTGACTATGTCGAAATCCCAGGCTTGGGCAGTGCCTTGGTGCTGCCAGTCACCTTTACTGAAAAGCAAGTGGTCCAAGCGCTTGCGTTTACCACTCGTATGCTCCCAGGACCACCCTTGCCCGGTTTGGTGTTCCGGGAAAGTGGCAGGAGATTCTAGCCCATTGACTGTGACAAACTCAAATAGGAACTCATCGTTGGAGGTTGGCGGGTGGGCGGCGATTAGAGAGCCAATGCATTGCTCTTCCGCATCCTGGGCACAGAAATCCGCATTGGCATCCATACCAAGGAGCCGGGGGCGCACTCGGAGCGCCTGATGCAATGCTTGATGCAGGTCACTCCAAAAGCTTTTAGCTTCATGCAGGGGGCGATCCTGATGGGGTGCGTGGGCAGAGAAAATGGTGATAGGCAGCCTCTCATCCACGCATGTGAGCACAAGAAGACGCGGTGTCGCCTTCAAGATCTTGCATGAGGCTAATGAAAGTGGCGGGCTAACTATGTCAGGTCTAACCCAGATTTCACAACCATACTGGCCACGATCTGCTCCTGAACGCCAAGAGAGCCAGCCGCCGGTGGCCCAGCGACCCGCGGGTGCACGGGTTTCTTGGAGACATACGATATCTGGCTTACGGCACTTGTGCTCGCCTGCTTTGGCTCCTCGCTCGGAACCGGAGGCAGCCAGTCAGTGGGCCCTGTAACTATCGAAAACACCCCTTTCCCTTCTCTAACCCGACTCTGAGGGATCACCCACAGCCATGGGAAGTGGTCGAAGTCCAGATCATCAGGAAGATGGAAGTGAGGATGTGCGACCCATGCGTCACAATCTCCTGTGACGGCCGCTCCTGCTACTGCATCGGCGAGTGTGTTGACGAGGACACCGACGTGACTGTGTACATGGCGGAAGTGCGTAGTGACGCGTGCTTGCACAACCTGCCAGGCCATGCGGGTTCTTTG